CTCGATCTCCTTCCATTTTATAGTCAAGCTACTTGGAAAAGTGTTTTTTCTTGTTTCTTCCACTTTCCTTCAATTCGCAACTCAATCTATTCTAATCTAATTTTGGCCTCCACCATTCCAAAGAAGCATCTCCCTGAAGAGCTTAGTGTCTTGAGTTTTTCAGTCTAACAAGCTCTTTTCAGGTCACAATTCCAGTAACATTTCTTGATATCTGACTGTATTAACCACTTCCTCTAAGATCTCTATTCTGTTAACTTTCTGAATTTTTCTAATACATCTTGAATTGCTTTTTCTTAAGTCTCCTGAATGACTCTTCTTCCTCTTGATCATTAGATATCAAAGTTCGTCAGGATTTTATCTTCTGTCGTTGGATTCATTCACCCCATAACTGCTCTTCAGGAGTTGCCGACAACAATATTACTCTAATAATCACTCACATGTTCATCCTCTGCTGTGGGTCCCACCTGCTTTTGCTTGAGGGACTTTAATTTCCAAAATTCAAGTTCTGATAATTATTAAACTCATTCCTCCATTTTCCCACTGAACACCTCCACATCAATATCTCACCGGTAGTTCAAAATCACAGCTAATTCACCCTCCATTGACTCCAAACAGAGCCAATATTCGCCCTTCTTCCATCCCTTATCTTACTGAAGGACATTGTCACCCACCTCATTAGTCATTAGAAGTCTGGGCACTTGGGTTTTTTTCCATAGCTTAGCTATTATAAATAGTGCTGCCATAAACACAGCGGTGCAGGTGCCCTTTTGAATTAATGTTTCTGTGTCCTTTGGGTAAATAACTAGGAGTGGAATTGCTGGATCATATGGAAGCTCTTTCTTTAGTAGGTTGAGGAATTGAACACAACCCAAATGCCCCAAAATAGATAAGTGGATCAAGAAGATATGGTACATATACACAATGAAATATTACTCAGCAACCAAAAAAGATAAACTCATGCAATTTGCAGCAATATGGATGGAGCTGGAAGGGATCATGCTGAGTGAAATAAGCCAGAAAGAAAAAAGAAAAATACTGGGTGGTCTCACTCATAGCAGGATTTAAAAAAACCTAAATAAGGGACCAGGAAAAAGACTAATTATAATAAAGAAAAAATCAAAATCAACAAGCAACTATAAATCTGAGACACACTACCCAGGGGGGTTGGGGGGAAAGGAGAGATTAGGGTCAAAATAAGGGGGATAGGAATTGTATGGGGAATATAACCAAAATGAAAATGCATACATTGTGCAAAAATGAAAAATGATGTAAGAATTATATAAAATAAAATATATTTAAAAAAAAGAAGTCTGGGCACCATTATTGCTCTTCTCCACATCTGTTTCCTTTTGTTCAATGTCCCCATCAGGTCCTGCTGGTTTTAATTTTATTATTTATCAATCCATCCCTTTTCATCATTTCCGCTGCCACTACTTATTTTCTCACTCAGCAAAATAGTGTTTTCAATCACTTTATGCTGAGAATGCCATTCGTTTATGCATACAATTTTATTCTTCAAACATACTAAACAACTATCTGCTCTATTCAAAGTACTATTAAAGGGGGCAGAATCAACTCCTAATCAAGTGTTTTATTGTGTCTCGAACACTTCCTCTTGACTGCTTCCTCACTAAGCCACAAATCAGGAATATAAACCTTAACTGAACGCTCCTCTAGTATCACCTTACTGTGATAAGCCCCAAGCCCCAGGCTGGCTCCTCTGCACATTATGAAATCCATCACTTGCCAAGTCGGATTGAAGTCAAATACATTAATTTGGAGGAGATTAAATTGCTGTTAGTGAAGTAAAAAGAGGTCAGTGAAGTAAAAGTAGAATGGAAAAATTAATAGTTATTGGTGGCAAGATGTGAGGGTTGTCACATCAACTTTAGCCATCTTTGACACTCACCTCCTCTAAACATAATCAATTTACTGTCCTCTTCTCTTATGTCCTCATGTCCCCTCTTACGCAGTTAAAATTCCATGGTCAATTATTACAATTGCTCCCTTTGCCCATGACCTCAGTCCCTTGCTTCGCTCACTTGGCCAAATTCAAAGGGTAAAACCCCAACCCCAGCTAAATTAAAGCTTCCACTTATTCTATCCACAAACCTATACTACGGAAAGTGGATGGAGAAAAACAGCAACCCTGCTGATTAATCTCACTTTAAATCTATGACCACTAACCGCTAACCTCAACAGGACTGGTAATGCTGCCCAGACATTCATTTGCTCCCTCATTCTCATACATGACCACAGTATTTCATGTTTTCTTGTATTTTCTGGTGTCAGTTACTAATTTATTGCCTCTCATCCCAAATATACTTTGGCAGATATACTCCTCAAATCTCCAGCACTTCTACCATAGTCACTCTTGGTAGATGACCTTGCTTTTTATTTTATTCAGAAGATAAAAGAAGCCAGAAGAGACTTTAAGTCCTATACACATATTCACCTACTTGGATTTGCCTACTTACCTGTTACTCAGGATGACTGACTATACAAGTCAAGGCTAACCCCTGCATTTATTCACTGGCTTCCATCCCCTGTCTCCTATTGAAGCTCATTGCTTCAGAATTCTTCCCTACAAAGGTATGTTGGTAGTTCTTACATCATTCAATTTAGCATAGATACTTCTAAAAGAGTAATGCCACCATGAAGACACAAATAATTGAATATAATTTTACATAGCATTACATCCTCAGATCATACTGTTTTTTTTTTAAGATTTATTTATTTATTCATTTATTTATTTATTTATACAAGCACTGGGTACAGTCAGAAGCGCGGGAGGGTGAGAGAATTCACCAGAGCCAGAGCGGGGAGCAGAGCAGGCAGAAGGACCGAAGTACACTGCTGAGGGGAGCAGCGGGCGGCAGGAGAGGTCTGCGCGCCATGTGGGACCCGCCTCCGGTGGCCGGGGAGCGGCCTGGGATCGAACCGGCGCCGCAGAGGCTGCAGGCAGCTTCGCAACCCAGTGCTCAACTGCTGCGCCACCCGGGAGGCCCAATATCATACTGTTTTGATCCATGTTACTTACCCCAGATATTTTTGTGTGTTTATTTTCTCTTATTTAATAAGTGTCAGGCTTTTCTGCCCTCCCGCCATTAGGATAGATGACGGAACACTGTAGTCCAGAATGCATGCTTGATGGCGGGCACCTGAAGTAGGATGTGGGCATACGTAGATGGAATTCACCTGGGCTAAGACTGGACTTATAAGGGCGGCGTCATGGGGATGCCAGCAGAAGCAGGAGAAGCAGAGAGCAGAACCACGAGAGGAGCAGAGAACAAGGTCACCAGAGTACGCCAGAGAGCCAGGTTAGAGTGAAGACTTGCTGGGGGCTGGGAGGCCTGCTGTGTACCTGGTAAATCCCAATAAAAGCCTGCAAAAGCCACTGAGGGCTCCAGGACTCCTCCTTTACCTGGTCTGCTGGATTAGAAAATCTGCTCCGCCCCTTCATAAGGTTATTATAATTGTTATACAGATCTTTCTCTACTTATAAAGAGGTTACATCCTGATTATAAGTTGAAAGTATTGTAAGTTGAAAATGTATTTAGAAATTTTGGGTGTTCATTTTCTCTTATTTAATAAGTAAAGTTATTATGACTTCTTTGCTGCCCTATCAGCATCTCTGCCTGTAATAGGGTAATCGTTGCAATAAATGTTTACACAATGGTACATGATCCAAATTGAAGGCATGCAATTTTCAGTTGGACCTAAGAAAAACTTTGATTTTTTGTGGGTAATGAAATACAGATTGTGACATGTCCACATTTGAAGATTTTTTAAAATAAAATTGATAATGTTTTTGTGCATGCATTACATCCTTATATCATAGTGTTGTTATGATCCATGTTACTTACCACCAATTAATTCTGTGTGTTTACTTTCTCTTATTTCATAAGTAAGGTTAGTAAAATTATTATACAGACCTTTCTTATCTTTTGACTGAAAAATGCCCATTCGAACTTTCTTCTAGCATCAACTATTTCATAACTATCCTTATAGTCATCCAGTAAAACTCATCTAAGGCCTACTCCTCCAGGAAGGCTCTAGGCAGATAAAGGTGAATGAACCAATCTTCTCACCTTTGATTTCCCAGTAATTAACACAGCAGCAGTGACACAGACATCCTTAATAAAGGTCAATTTAGGATCAAATCTCTATCACCATCATCGTCACCATCACCATCATACACATTTGGCACACATCTGGGTAAATGCAAACCACTGTTCATTGTTACTCCTTTCAGGAACTCATGAGGGTAACCTACCTGTGGTATTCTGGCATGAGGTATCTGACATGCAGGTCACTTTTGATCTGAGTCTTTTAAGTCTGCTAGCTTTTAACCACAGATATATATGGACTTCCCCTACACCAACAAGAATGAGCTACGTGCTTTGAGAATCAGTTTTATCAGCTCTGTCCCAAATTATACACTGGGTAAGAGTTTGTCCCCAATAAATGGAGGAAGCATGGTGACAAATGACCACTTTTCATGTCCCCATGACTTTCTCATTACTGGTAGCACAGTCTTTCCTAATTGCTTTTTTTTGTGACAGGTGGGAACTTCTGAGCCTGGATTTTGAATCTGACTTTGTTCAAGGAAACAAAAAAATCCCTTGTCATGCCTTAGTTTTTTCTTTTTCTCAAGGCCTGAATTACTCTCTTATTTATCTCTGCAACTATCATGAAACTTGCCAGGAAAGGATCAAATTCCTTTCCTTGGGTGGATTTCCTCCCAACTATTCCATCCAAAAGTGAAGTGCCTTTATTTTGAAAGTCTTTGACATTTATAAGCTGCCCATAATCCAGCCCATGTTATACCATGAAACTCTGATAATTTCTTCATAATTATTCTCCATCCTTATTCCACTGATTCCATAAAAACATAAGCTCTTTGAGGATAAGAAGGTTATTTATCTTTAAATATCTCCTTAGCCCCTACCATGGTTTTAGTTTTAATTAATTGAGGTACCAATGGTTTACATCATTACTTGTTTTCGGATGGGCAGGATCTTCTTCAGCTGTTGTTACTACACCACACCTGCCACCAAAGCATCCATCATCATTGTGCAACCTCCTTACTTTGTTCTTAGGCCTTCTCCTCCTGCCCTGGCAGTCTTTGTCCTGTAGTCAGCTTTCTAGATGTAGCGGCAGGACTGGCACTGAGCGGGATCTTTATGACCTGGGCAGGATCTTTATGACCCAAGCAGACGTATTAAAGGAGAGTCCTAGGAGCCCTTGGTGGCTTTTTCAGGGTTTTTATTGGAATTTACTAGGTACACGTTAGGCAGGAGTGCGGGGGTGCCAGGAGGCGGCCCCTGAGAGTCCTCGCTTTTCTGGGCTCTCCACGTTCTCTCGTGGCCTTTGCTTCTCTGCTTGCTCTCTTCTGATCTCTCTTTTGCTCTGCTGTTTCACTGGCATTCCCGTGATGCCGCCCTTATAAGCCCAGTCTCTCAGCCCAGGTGTACCCACCTACATATACCCACACCCTACTCCAGGTGCCCGCCATCAGGCATGCATTCAGGACTGAAGGTTTCCATCATCTATCTTAATGGCGGGAGGACAGAAAAGCCTGATACTTTTTTTACCTTACCCTACACTAGGGTTTGTAGTTAGCTTGTGATTATATGATCATTTGCTGGGTATCTCTATATTCCACATATAAGTCACACCATCCTGTATTTGTCTTCCTCCTTCTGATTTATTTTGCTTAGCATAATCCCTCTGGCTCCAACCATATTGCTGCAAATGATAAGAGTTTATCTATTTTGAAAGTTGAGTAGCATTCTCTCTTTCTCTCTCTCTAGCTCTCTTTCACACACACACACACACACACACACACATTTTTCTGATCCACTCATCTGTATTTGGGCACTCGGGTTGTTTTCATAGCTTGGCTATCGTAAATAGTGCTGCAATGAACATGTTTCCCTTTGAATTAGTATTTGAATTCTTTGGGTAGATTCCTAGGAGTGGAATTGATGAGTCATATGGTAGATCCATTTTTAATATTTTGAGAAACTACCATTCTATTTTCCATAGGGACTGACCCAGTCTACATTTGCACAAGAGTGTAAGAGACTTCCTTTCTCTCCACATCCTCATCAGCATTTCTTGTTTCTGACCTTTTTGACATTGGTCATTCTCACTGATGTGAGATTGTATCATATTGTGGTTTTGATTTGCAGTTCCCTGACAATAAGTGATGAGCATTTTATCACGTGCTCATTGGCCATCCATTTGTCTTCTTTGGAGAAGTGTCCATTTAGTTTTTCTGACCATTTTTTGATTGGATTATTTTCTTTCCATTTAGTTGTATGGATTCTATGCAGGTCTTGGATTTTAGCCCTTGTCAGATATGTGGTCAAATACTTTCCCCCACTCAGCAGGACATGTTTTTATTTTTCTGACTACTTCTAAAAGTAAAGAAGCTTTTTAGTTTAGTATATTCCCAATTGTTTACATTTTCTTTTGGTTTCCTGTTTCTGGAGACAAATGCATAGGCACCTCTGAAGTCTGTGTTTTGTAATATTTTATCTACTTCTTCTTCAATGTGTTTTATGCTTTCAGATTTTACTTCCAAGTCTTTTATCCATTTTGAGTTGACTTTTGTTTATGCTGTGAGAAAGAAGTCTAGTTTTATTCTTTTGCATGCTCGCCCAGTTTCCCCAACACCATTTATTAAAGAGGCTTTCCTTGCTCAAATGTATATTATTGACTCCTTGTCATAGATTAACTGCCCATACAGATGTGGACTTATCTCTGGGCTTTCAATTCTATTCCAATTTCAATTCTATTAGTCTGTGTATCTGTTTTTGTACCAGGACCATACTGTTTTGATTATTATAGTGTTGTAGTACAGTTTAAAGTCTGGGCATGTGCTGCCACCTTGCTTCCTCTTTTTTGTCAGAATTGCTTTGGCTATTGGGGTCTTTTGGGATTTCATATGAATATCAGTAATGCTTTTTTATTTCATTTAAGGATGCCATTGAAACTAAGATAGTAATTGTACTATATATGTTATATATATATATATTGCTTTGAGTAAGATGACCATTTTGACACTGTTTAGTCTTATAATACATGAGTAAGTAAAATTTTTTCCATTTCTTCATGTCTTCTATTTCTTTCAACAGTGTTTTATAATTTCCTTTGGAGAGGTTCTTCACCTCCTTTGTTAAGTTTATTCCTGGCATTTAATTATTTTTGGTGCTATTGTAAATGGGACTGCTTTCTTAATTTCTTCCTCTTCTAGATTATTGTTTGCATAAAGGAAAGTTACTGATTTTTGTGTATTGATTTGTAGTGTGCCAATTTGCTGAACTGATTTATTGTTTTGATCAGTGTTTTAGTAGAGTCTTTAGGGTTCTTCCTATATATTATCATGTCATCTGCAAATAATGATAGCTTTCTTTCTTTCCCAATTTGGATTCCTTTTGTATTTAGTTATCTGTATTGTCTAGCTAGAACTTCCAATACCATATTGAATCATAGGGTAAAAATGGACATCTTTGTCTTATACCAGTTCTTAGTTGAAAACACTCAGTTTTTCATTACTGAGAATGATTTTATCATTTATGGTCTTTATTATGTTGAGGTATGTTCCTTCTATCACCAGTTTTTTTAGGGTTTTCATCATAAATGAACATTGAATCTTATCAAATGATTTCTCTGCATCTATTGATACGATCATGTGGTTTTTATCTTTCCTTTTATCAACAAGGTGAATTACCTTAATTGATTTTCAGATATTCAACTATCTTTGAATCTCTGGTATAAATCCCAATTGGTTATGGTATATGATGTTTTTAATGTATTGTTAGATTTGGTTTGCTGAGATTTTGTTGAAGATTTTTTGCATCTTTGTTCACTAGGGAAATTGGTCTCTAGTTTTCTTTTTTGTGTGTGATAACTTTGTTTTGGTGTCAGGTTGATGTTGATCTCACAAACTGTTTTAAAATATTGCCTTTTTTTTTCAAATTTTTGAGAGTTTGAGCAAGATAGATGTTAGCCTTTCTTTGACGAATTTACTCACTTGTAAAGTCAATTGATCTTGGATTTTTGTTTTTTTGTGAGTTTTGATTACTGTTTCAACTTTCTTACTTGTAGTTGGTCTGTTCAGTTTTCTATTTCTTCCCTACTTAGTTTGGATAATTGTATATTTAAAAGAATCTGTCCATCTCTTCTAGGTTGTTGAACTTACTGGCATATAAATATTCATGGCAGTCTCCTACAATCCTATTAATTTCTGAGATGTCTGTTGCAACTTCTCATCTTTTATTTCTGATCCTATTTATTTGAGTTTTGTGATCCTAGCTAGAGGTTTGTCTTTTAGTTTGATTAATCTTTTGAACTGTCTTTTAAATTTCTACTTCATTTATTTCTGCTCTAATTTTTACTGCTTCCTGTCTTCTTTTGGCTTTTGGTTTTGTTTGTTCTTTTTTTAGTTCCTTAAGGTGGCAGATGAGATTATTTATTTAAACTCTTTCTTATTTGTTACTCTGGGCCTGTATGCTATATAATTCCTTCTTTTTAATGCTTTTTCTGTGTCCCCTAAGTTATAGAAGGTTGTGTCCTCATTGTCATTTGTATTGAGGTATTTCTTTTTTTTTCTTTTTTTAAATTTTATTTTTATATTCCCCATACAATTGCAACCCCCTTATTTTGACCCCAATCCCTCCTTTGCCCCCCCTACTCCCATAGTGTGTCTCTGGTTCATAGTTGTTTGTTGATTTTGATTTTTTCTTTCGTATAGTTATTCTTTTTCCTGGTCCCTTATTTAGGTTTTCTAGATTCCTGCTATGAGTGAGACCATCCAGTATTTTTCTTTTTCTTTCTGGCTTATTTCGCTGAGCATGATCCCTTCCAGCTCTATCCATGTTGCTGCAAATTGCATGTGTTTATCTTTTTTGATTGCTGAATAATATTCCATTGTGTATATGCACCACATCTTCTTGATCCAGTCATCTGTTTTTGGGCATTTGGATTGTTTCCAAAGCTTAGCTATTGTAAATAGTGCTGCTATCAACATAGGGGTGCAGGTGCCCTTTGGTATTGATGTTTCTGTGTCCTTTGGGTAAATACCTAGGAGTGGAATTGCTGGATCATATGGAAGCTCTATCTTTAGTAGATTGAGGAATCTCCACACAGCTTTCCATAGCGGTTGGACCAGTTTGCACTCCCACCAGCAGTGCAGGAGAATTCCTTTTTCTCCACATCTATCTTGAGGTATTTCTTCTTTGATTTCCTTATTAATGCAATAGCCACTCAGTAGTGTACAGTTCATTCTATATATATTAGAAGTTTTTCCTGCTTTCTTTTTTGGTTGAGTTCTACTTTGGTACCTTTTTGGTCATAGAAGTTGTATAGTATGATTTTAATCTTTATGAATTTATTGATACTTATCTTCTGACTGAATATGTAATCAATTCTGCAGAATGTCCCATGTGCACTTGAGAAGAATGTGTATTCTTAGTAGCCTATTAATGGCTACTAAGCCCATTAGGTCTAATTCTTTCTAAGGCTATTGTGTCCTTATTTATTTTTCATTTGATTGATCTGTCTAATGGTGAAGGCACAGTGTTGAAATCCCCCACCATGAATGTATTTTTCCCAATGTCTGTTTTCAGATTGTCTAGTGATTGCTTATCTAGTTGGGTAATCCTTCATTGGTGCACATATATTGGTGAGTATTATGTTTTCTTGTTGTATTGCTCCCTTAATTATTATATAGTGTCCATCCCTGTCCCTTGTTACCATTTTTAGCTGGACATCTATTTTATCCGATATAAGTATGGCCTGCCGTTTTTTGGGTCCCCTTTGTTTGTAAGATTGTTTTCCAACCCTTTACTCTGAGACTATGCTTATCTTTGGGGCTCAACAGCAGAAAGTTGGATTCTGTTTTTCTACTTTATTCAGATGCTTGTGTATTTTAATTAGTGAATTCAGCCCATTTGCATTTAGAGTGATTATTGACATATGAAAGCCTGTTATTGTCACTTTGTCCTTAATTTTGTGGTTCTATCTACATCTTTGTTCAGTTCTTTGTGGATGTTCTTCTCTTAGATTTAGATACTAGAGTTCCTTTCAACATTTACGGGAGGGGGGCTAGTGTTTGTAAATTCTTTCAGATTCTGTTTTTCTG